CATAAAAAAAAATCTTTAAAACAATTAGTAAATTTTTTTAATAGCATAGTTAAACAACTTTAGAATCTTATAAATAATTGTTTTAATAATAATAATAATAATATATTATATATATAATTGCTAGCTTAGCATTTAATTTTACCTATTTAATAAACCTCTAAAATTTTCCCTCTATTTCAGTTACAAAATTTATCATTAATATTTTTTTATTTCTCACATTAACATATCCTATTAAGTGTCATCATGTATTTTTCGATTATATTATATAATAGTTATTGCTAATACAAACTAATAATAATTCACAATAAATATAAATTATGATATGGGATATCATACCCATTAGGCTGAACCGGTCTATTGACCGGTCGAGGAGGTCGTATTATGGGGAAGTCAAGGAAATCGAGCAGTTAACCAGTCAACCAAGTAAAGCTGTCGACCAAACTATCCTTCGACCAGATACATGATTGGGCAACTTATTCGACTTCAACAGGTCACTAATCTTTCAAAGGAGCAAAGCCAATTGGCATCAGTAAAAGGTGGCGGTGTAAGCAGGTCGACTACTTCGAGGACTTAACACCACGTTGATCGGCCTAGTCACAGGCGCGTAAGAGAGCCTCTAACGGAATTCCAGGGGAATATTTACCCCATGTGCAGGGGGACACGTGTCGAGAAAGCAGTGGTGGATAGCGATAATCACCTCTGACAGCCTACCCCATGTGCAGGAGGACACGCGTCCAAAGAGGATTGGTGCAGGCGATAGTGGCGACGGCTACCTCTGACACACGCGTTTGGTGTGTACGGACGGGCAGTTAGGGCAGACAGCTCATCAAATCCGGGCAACCCTAGGTCAGGTATCTCACCCCTATAAAGGGGGTGAGCTTTTCTTCTTCAACACGATCATTCTACTACTTACTCTTGAGAATTGATTGAACATACACCGACTTAAGCTTCGGAGGCTCTTCACCGGAAAACCCCTCCGGTGTGAGAGTTCTTTGTAGGTGCACGACGTTCAACCGGTGAGAAGAAAGGCGATTACTCAAGTTCCGGCCGGTCGAGAAGTTTTGTGCTACCAAATTACATAATTATAAACAATTGTTTCAAGTTATTTATATTAACATCAATATTATCTTTTTCTTTTGTATCTCATGAAAAAAATTCTTTAAACAATTAGTAAATTGTTTTAATAGCTTAGTCAAACAACTTTAGAAGCTTATAAACAATTATTTTTTTAATAATAATAATAATAATAATAATAATAATAATCAAACTGTTATTATCTAATGATAGTAAACAATTATTTATAATAATAAAATTGTTAATTTATTTTTTCGAATGATCAAATTTTTGAAAATGTAATATGTTCTGATATAGGATATTATCTGTATAAGGACGAACCGATTTGGTGAGCCGGTCGAGAAGAGCAGACCGGGAGCAAACCAAGCCGAGAGGCGGGAATCCAAGGGATCGAGCAGCCCCAGGGCTCGACCACGTAAGCGGTCGAACAACCCAAAGCTCGACTGCACTGGCGTTCGAGTAGCCTGATGCTCGATCAGACTGCTCGAGCTACCCATCAATCGATCAGATAAGTGATCGAGCAAGCTGAGTGATCGAGCAAGCTGATCAACATAAGCCCAGACGCGTGTATAGCAGACGCGCGTGAGGGTCTCTGACTGGGCTTCAGGAGAATATTTACCCCATGTGCCGGGTGGACACGTGTCGACAATGTATTGGGTGATAGCGATAACCACCTTTGACAACGCCCAAACGTCCCGCGGCACCTCTGACATGTGCGCGGCGTGTCAGAGTACGGACGGGCAGCTTGGGCAGCACACGTATCCTTATCCGGGCAGCTATTAGGGCAGGTATCTCACCCCTATAAAAAGGGGATGAGCTTTTCTTCCTTAACACGTTCTATTCATTCTCTAAATTCCAGTATACTCATACACATACTGACTTAAGCATCGGAGGCTCTTCACCGGATCCAACCCCCGGTGTGAGAGTTATTTGCAGGTTCTCGGCGTTCTACCGGCAAGGACAAGAATCGATCTACTCCAAATCGGACCCGGACGCTTACACCTGCATTATGTTCATTATCTAGAATTTTAATATTAAATTCTCAAATATTACTTACTAATATTTTATGTACATATGTGCATGTGCACATGATATCTGCTAGTTAAGTGTAAATGATAAAGTGAAATTTAGTGCATAAATTGAATATTCATACTTTTCAAACGAATTTAGAGAATGAAAATATGGAGTATCCAAGTCCACTTTGTCCTGAAAACGACTTCAAATCCTTGTCAACTTATGTATTGGTCAACTATTTGGCTCATATAATTACGCCTTTGTCCTCGTAATTTTAGTACTTATAAAAATATTATCTCCTTAAAAATATGTAATCAAGCATTCATAATTATGGAAAATACTACGGTCTCGTTACGAAATTATTCCGTCGAAGTTTGTAACCGTTAAATCAACTATCACGACAATTGCATGAAGATCTAACAGTTAAAAATTCTAACGAAATGATTCATAATGTGATCGTAGCAAAAAATCCACCATAATTAAAGTCTTCGGGCTGAGTGGTCGCATGTATCGACCACTCAGCATTTTTCGATACTGAGTTGGGATAAGCCTAGGCAGCCCTGTCTTGGTTAGAGAAATTGGTAACCTAATTTGAAATATTTTAAAGATGTGCTTGATTTTTTCTTTTACCTTAATATATAAAAAATTATAAATGTAGAAAAAGCTACAAATTGGGATCATCGACAAGTGTCTCTTGTTGATGAATGTGCTATGTGGTGACTAGAAGCCTGTCATAATGTGTTTGGATGAAAGAATACAATTGATTTTTATATTATATGTCTTTCATTTTCATTATGACTTTTTGCCCCACCCCTTCCAAATTATGCGTTTTTTTTTATTATTATTGGTGTATTATTTTAATTGTCAAGTAATGCATGCATCTAATTAGAATATATTTTTGATAAAATTGAAAAAAAAAATTATTTAAAATATAGTTGATAAGTTAATTGATAGCTAAATAAGTTTAGCGCGACTAATAGTTGATACTTAATGACTGGTGACAAAACATACTGACTGTTGATAAACCTTAACCTTTTTGCGTTTGGCAATTTTATCCCAATCTTTGGGTAATTGCAATATAATCTCGACCTCAATTTACTTATTGCAAATTTGGGTGCTGAGTGATTGATTTTAGGGATTTGTAGGTCGATTTTGTGTCCAAGTCTTTCATTGACACGAGCTTTTCTGTCATCCACGTAGCAAGTCGACAATTTCCACGTATTTAATGTATATCCACGCACAAAGCCGAAAATTCCACGTCAATGTAAGCTACCGGTGATGAGTCTCGTCCTAGATCTGGAGTGAACTGGTAAATATGAGCTCCGATCTGTTCGAACCGCCTTTAAATCGACCAGTTTTTTGAAGGTCCAACCGGTTTTAGGTTCGACTTGCAATAAGTAAATTGAGATCGAGATTATATTGCAATTACCCAAAAATTGAGATAAAATTGTCAAACGCAAAAAGATCAAGGTTTATTTAGCAATTAACCCTAAAATAAAAAGTTTTCGAAAAACTATTTGATGAGTAAGTATGTTTTTTTTTTTAAAAAAAAAAAAGGAAAAAGCTACATGTACAACATTTAATGACAACTTGATGTGGCATAATGTGGGTAGTTGAGATACAAACAAATATATGGTTAAGATTTGAGTTAGTGATACTTTTAATTAATGTTGTCAAATAACATTGTAAACTATAATTGTACACGTCGCATTCCTCTTTTTAAAATGTTCGATAACTGTGATAAGATCATTTTTTTTTTACATTATTATTTTGAATATGTAAATTTATAAATTAGCAGAATAAACTATAGCCTTGTGAGCTATCAAGCACTCCCTAATATAGCTAACCAAGCACTCTCTAACGACAACACTTAAATTTATTTCGACGGATAGATATATTTTTCGAATTAAAATATCATTCTTTAGAAAACATTATAAATAAGAGAATGACATTTCAGTGTATAAATATACATTTTTGCTGAAAAAACTAGCAAACCCCATTTAATGATTAGGTAATTACTTGGTACAAGAATTTGTGATATAAAAAAAATTGTAAAACCAAAATATAAAATGATCAGTTGGACCGCATTTTTGCGATTATATAATTAATGGGAAATACTATGGTCCCGTTATGGAATTATTTCGTCGGAGTTTGTAATCATTGGATCATCATGTAACCGTCATCTAATGGTTACAAACTCCGACGAAATAGTTCCGTAACGGAACCATAGTATTTCTCTATAATTAATACCCCAATCATTTCTCTTGTACTTCCACGTCCTTTCAGGCACAGCAAACATATATAAAAGCTCCTGATTGATTAGTCCAGTATTGATTATTTGTGTGTCTACCTAAACGGTACTTGTATAAATTGAGAAACTCTTATTTCATATGATCAAACAAAATTTCGAAAAGTTGAAGTGAAGCTAAAATTAAGAGTATATTTCATACTCATTCATCCTATTACCTATATATATGTAAGTTCCCATTACCTACCTTAGTGTTTTTTTTTTTTACCAATTAATTTATGTGTATATATAAATATTATTTATCTGGTGGGTTTTTGTTATATTAAATAAAATATTTCTTACTTTTCTATTTATATATATAAATAATATTTTATTTTTTATTTTCTTTTATTTGGCTAAATATTAACCGGATTAATTTGTTAAATCAGCTTCTCTCGAGAAGGGCCGGCGCAAGAGTTTCTCCGACGGAGTGTCCAGTGCTATTGTGCCGGAAAAGTTATCAGGTAAATAATTGCCAGCTGGCAGGATAATATAAACTTTACATTATTAAATATATTATCATCAATTGAGTGCATAATAATTAGGTTAATCATCACATGACTATGACTAAAATCTTATTAATTAAGTATTAATCTGAATTTGCCTTAAGAAGAAATCTAGGTTGATGGATGATGCGAGTATTAAAATTGAATGGCCAGGATTGGGCCAGCTGGCAGCAGGACCAGTCACTAGCAATCTTAACCTCAGGTAAAAGGACAAATTAATCGACTGCACTTAATGAATTCGGATTGATAAATTAGTGTTTGGTACAAAATATTAGGAGAATGCTACAATCCCGTTACAAGATGATTCAGTAATTTTTTTTAGCCGTAGATACACATATAGATCAATAATGTGTATATAATCTATGCTTAAAAAGAACTATGGACCCATACCGTAACGGAACTGTAGCCTTCTCCAAAATATTGTTAATTGTTGGGGTTTTATTTGTATAGGGTGTTTGTTGGGACTTGGAATGTAGGAGGCCAAACTCCGGACGACGGTCTGAACCTCAGCGAGTGGTTAAACACTAAAACATCAGCTGACATTTACGTGCTCGGGTATATATATATGCATCTTCCTTCAACAAAACAAGAAGAAGAAAAAAAAAA